TCAGGAGTTCAGGCTTGGGGCTTAGGAGCCATCTTAGACAACGTGTCCCTGGAATGATGTGTCCCAGGAAGGTGAGCAGTGAGGTGTGAGCCCTGAAGCCCCTCATATATGTGAGGAGAGAAAGACAGGAAAGGGTAATCAATCAGGTCAGTCGTGGGAAGCCAAAAGAAGAGAGTGGTTTTAAATACAACATGGTGTACAGATAGCACAGTGTAGGCATAAGTGAACAGCAAAGACTCTCTCCCTCTCATTTCTCTCCACCAGCACCTGCCCCCTCCCATGGAAACCCCTTACATCACCCCCTCATGTCTTCCAGAACTGTACAGTACATTCTTTTGATTTGGCCCAGTTTACACTATTCTGTTGGAATGAAACATCTGAAGGTTGGTTGCTTTAAAAAGGAAAAAAAAATAGGTTTGTTCTGCTCAAAATTCTAGAGAGTCAAGGACCCATATTAATTGAAGACTTACTAAGGGGATGCAAGATGCCAATCAGTGTGAGACAGAGAGAGAGAGAGAGAGAGAGAGAGAAAGGGAGGAGGGTTGCGATTTCTTTCATTCCTGTGTCTCTGTGCCAGGATGTGTGGGGGATGGGTGTACATATAAAAGTCAGAAGATAATCTCATTTGTGGTTGTACTAACTACCTCTTTTTTTTTTCCTTTGAGGCAGGGCCTCTCCCAGGAGGCCTGGGGCCAGCCCAGTAGGCCTGACTAAATGGGAAGTGAGCCCCATGGGTCCCCCGTCTCTCCTTCCCCAAGTGCTTTGATTATAAGTGTATATCATGCTTTCCAACTTTTCTTTAATGTGGGTTCTGGGGCTTGAACTCAGGTCCTCATTCATTCAAGGCAAGCAGCTTAAATGACCTAGTAGAGCTCTTCAGCCCTCTCCCTCTTCTTATAGAGCCTCCATAATTACATCATGGGCCTTTCACCCTGATGACTATCAAATCCTATCACCTCCTAAAAGTCCCACTTCTAGACACGTAGTTGGAGTGACTGTCTACCCTCTTAATACTGCAAAGTGGGGGAGAACTTGGGGTAACACACTTTAAAGCAATATGTAAATTATAACAGTTCTCTTGTGAACTTTGGTTTTTTGTTTACCAATCAATAATCTTCCAAATACTTCCATGGCAGTATAAGTTATGTAAATTTTAAAAGAGGAGCAACATTATACAGAAACAGCATAATTTATTAAATCAAGCTTTGATGATAGACATTTATATTTTGTCTGTTACATTTACTGTTACAAACAATGCTTTCATGGATATTGGTACTAAACATAATTTCTGGCCTGGAGCCCTAGCACGATGGACGGTAAGGTGCTTGCCTAGCATGCATAACACTCTGGGTTTGAACCTCAGCCATGGAAAAAATATTGCTCATTTTTACTGTGATACTGTGTCAGAAATAATTATATTTTTAATAAACATTTGTCTCTCAGTGCCTGTGAGGGATTGGTTCCAGGATACCAAATCCACAGCTGTTTGAGCCTCTTGCATAAAATGCTATAATATTTGCATAGAACTTCCATACCTATGTATTTTAAGTCACTTCTACATTATTTATACCTCGTACAGTGTGAGTGCTCTATAACTAGTTCTTACACTGTGTTGTTTAGGGACTAGTGACCCAAAAATGTCTACACATAGTCAGTAAGCATGAATGTATTAAATCCAGCATTTCTGAAATGCAGGGGTGCAGAACTAGCAGGCATGGAGCCCACCTGTAGATGCAGAGAGTTGTGTGCTGTTAATCTTCGCCACTAACTCAGATTTGTACCCACTTGCTCTCCCATTACCCACACCCGAATAAACCCCATGCATGAATATACATGTTTTCCCAAGACACAGCCAGCAGAATATAAGTCCAAAATCGGCCTTTGGCCAAGCCAATGGACAAAATGCCAATATCCTGGAGGAAATTTGATTTTCATTTGTAAGAATTAAATTTATAGATGGGAAGGAGCATTAAATCGCAGGTCTCAGCAGCTGTGGTCCCTGCAGCAGTCTGGGAGGCACCTATGAGTTAGTCAGAGCTGTTTCTCACAGGGCGCTCGCCTTCGGCTAGAAAGCTGCCATTGACAAGTGTTCAAATTGTCACCCAATGGGGCAGAGCATCCAAGAGTGGTGCTAGGCGCAGCTCGCCCCTGCACCAGCCACCATGGCTGCTAAGAGAGTCCGGAGATCTCCAGTTATGGCAGATCTGCAGTAGGCACAAAAGCAGATAAGGGGTAAGAGTTTAAGATGCTTGACAGTAGAGCAGGAGGGCACTGGCTTGAGGGACAGCCAGGATAAGTGGAAACTTCATTATCCGTGGATCACACACACTTGGAAAGCAGGTCGCAGGCAACTCTGATGTTAGTAATTTGGCCGGCAGGCTCATTAAGCTCTTAAGAAAAGTGGGCCTAGTTAATGAATTAATGCAAGATGACATTTTACACACAGAGCAAAAATGAGCCCAGGCAGCTCTGAGTTATGTGGCATCATAACTCCTTGAGTCAATGTGATCGCTGCTTCTTGACTGCCAAAGTGGCAGGTCTGGAGGGAGCCAGCTTTCAGAGACAACAGTGAGAGCCTTGGGATACAAAAGCCTCACTCTCCCCTCATTAAAAAGCTCCCTCTCATGTTTGTAATGCCGCCAGTGGTCACACAGACGGCAGAGTTTCAGAGTCTCTGGACACATTTACTTTCCATGTGAAAATCTACTGGCTCCCCCACACGCACAGCCCCCAACTTGGGCTCCCCTCTTGTCACAGATGTCTGCTGAGGATATCAAGAATGCACATGCTAAGAAGCGGTGTTAACTAGTCAGAGCTGAAAGAGCCTGGAGATGAACAGCAGTGATGTTTGCACAGCTCCCTGAATTCACTTACCACTACTGAACTGTACACTTCACGCATTTTCTGCAGGATGCACTCTTCATCCTGGCCATTTTAAAGCAGTATTTGTACTAGCATCGCTGAGTGCAAACCCTTGTCAGGCAGTATGCTCAACACTCCCGTCTGACCTGGGGAAATAGATGCGGTTAAGTTTCTCGGCCCTGTTATTACTTAAGGCTTATAAAAGTTAAATCACTTGCCTGGACTCAGGCACCCAGAAGTGGTGGCTCCAGGATCCACCCCAGAAAAGAAATAGCCCAGAGAAGTTACTTTAGTCCTGAATTCTGAATCTCTCCCTCCCTCCCCTCCTCCCCTCAAGCCTCACTCTGCTTTTAATTACCTAAGCTAAGAGCTAAGTGACAGTTATTTGTCTTTGAAAAAGTCCAAAGCCTCTTCCCCCCTTTAACTGCACAGATATACACGACCACCTTTCAGAAGGCTCATGTTTGCTTCTTTCTGTACAGCTCAGATGTCCAGATGTGTGTTAGAATGATGACTACCAGGAACTTGGAGAATCCCCTAAGCTTTTAGTCCAAGGTTGGGTATGGCTAGAGAGAAAAGTTAGCACAAACAGGAGGGACCCTCAGGGGAAGGTCTTCATTTGTCTAAGATTGGGATGATTTTTTTTTAATCAGGGAGGCAAACATTATGTGTTGGACAGCATGCAGGCTTTAGAAGGAGGATACGTGGCTCCCAGGCTCCTTCTGTAACCATGGACACGTTAATCCACCTCTCTGAGTTAAAATAGAAATAATAATAGCGCCTCCTGTCTACCATAGAGTGTGAATAAACAGATTTGTGTTGTTGTTGAGTTCTATGCATTTATTGAGTACCTACTGTCTGCCAGGTCTCACCCCCCACTCTGGGACTGTAGTTATAAACAAAGTAAACACACTGTCCATGTTGAAGAAGGGAATGAATGACTTAGCTCCGCCCCTGCTGCTGCCTCAGCGTAACAAATGTTGGCCTCTCTGGGGTCCACAGAAACCTCTTCCTGAGTTACAGATGGAAGAAGCACGGGGCTCTGGAACCAAATTCACCCTCTGGCCTGAAACTAGAACATTCCTCCATCAGGGCACAGCAGTGGGTTGTTGTGGTTCTCTGGCACCAACAGGGGTTTCCCAGATTTCTGGGAAGGGCTGTTTGGGTTTCCTGGGCCTGCCTGGACTTCCTGAGGGGACTTCTGAGACACTAAATAAGGTTTGTAAAAGGCAGAACTAAAATCTTCAACATTATATACTGTGCGTATCAAACACACACGTGAATGTAGCAAAAAGTATGTCTGTTCTTCTAAAGGTGTGGCAGTTGTCTGAGCCATTGGGCAGCCCGTCTTGTAGTACAGCACTTTCCGAAGGGCCCAAACACAGAAAGTAGGTTGAGGAACAGGTGGAACCTGTCTGGCTCCAGAGTCTGTCCCTATATCTATAAAGATCAACCCAGGGCCTGGCACAAAACAGATATCCTGTGCTTTGGAGCTCAAGTTATGCATATCTACCTTCCTCGAATGTGCTTTATCATTCATTTTCAACGAAGAACTCATTTCTGGAACCCCAAGAACACTCACTGGACCCCTGGGTATTGTATTCCCCACAACTGAGTTTTTAGCTAACTCTCATTTATAGAACATAAAATTCACTCACATTAACAGTACAATGAAATGATTTTTTTTTTTTTAGTTCACTCCTCAACATGTGTCATCATCACCATAGTCTGGTTTGAGGACATTGTTAATGACCCAACAAGCCCCTCATGCCCACTTGCAGTTAATCCAGGCACTGCTGTGCTCTTTCTCTCTGTGTGAACTGGTCCTCACGTAAATCGTCTAAACAGTCGACAATCTGGGATATCAGGGCATGACTTATTTCTCTGTGTGTTTCTGAAACTCACACTCATAGGATTTATTAGCATTTAAATTTGGGATTTGGTACGAATTCATTGTGTGGATATACTGCTGTCTGGCTATCCACTTAACAGCTGACAGACATCTGTCTCCCTTTCTGTGAATGGTCATGCTGTGCTAATTGGCAAATCAGTTCTGAGGTTGGTTTTCAGAGGCTTAGGAAAGCCCACTTGTAACATTCTCTCTTCCATCTTTTTTTTTTTTCTCCCGGTTTTCCCAGAACCAGGCAGCGGGCAGGTGTTTGTGACCTCGGAGAACCAGCTGGTGTACTACCCCAGTATCACATACGCCATCATTGGCAGCTCCGTCATCTTCGTTCTGGTGGTGGCGCTGCTGGCACTGGTCCTGCACCACCAGCGGAAACGGAACAACCTCATGACTCTCCCTGTGCACCGGCTGCAGCACCCCGTACTGCTCTCTCGCCTGGTGGTCCTGGACCACCCCCACCACTGCAATGTCACGTACAACGTCAACAATGGTGTCCAGTATGTGGCTAGCCAGGCCGAACAGAGCGCCTCAGAGGTTGGCTCTCCACCCTCCTACTCAGAGGCCCTTCTGGACCAAAGGTGAGAGATTGCAGAGGACATCTGACAAGGAAGCACACGTGCACACACCGGACTACCTAAGTCTCATCAAGAATTTGGGCTCTGTAGCTGAGGGCAGTAGCAGTGACTGACATTTCCTTATAGAAAATTCCATGTCATCTGATCATCTAAATACATCCGGGAGGTAACTGGGGTCCTTCAGCTTAAGTCACTTGTCTAAGGACCTAGAGGTAAAACCGCAACGTTACAGCCACTGGCCATCTCTGCACCTTGTGTGCTTCTACAGAGGAGTCTCATGGGAGGTTCGGTTAGTTTGTTGACTGAATAAGTAAGTCTTTTACCTTGCCTTATTTATAAAGTAAAATGAATGGCATAGAATACCCCAAGCCCTATTAAGCAATGGAATGCTCATCACAGATGGCATTATTCATGAGCCCCCGATATAGAAAGCCCAGACCAGCATTATGTAGGTAGAGTTGCCCTCCCCCGAAATCATGCCTGTTCAGGGAGAGGTTGGAGATTGAGATCAAGGCCTTAAACACATTAAGCACATGCTTTTATCGCCATGTTCATTCCCCCCTCACACACGCCAGGAACCCTCTTGGAAGTCCCTGCACTGCAGCCAGCTGTTGGAGTCCCTTTAGAGTATAGCACTGCGTGCCCTGCCTTCAGGTCCCCTGCTCAGAGCACAGGACTCACTAGGTGTTACATCAAGCATCTTGCAGATGTACCTCCAAGCTGGCTGAGCTTCTCCTTGGAGCCTTCCCAGTGCCAGCTCCTGTGTGATTTCATCTTCACTTTTCCTCCTCATCAAAAGCAAGCAGTACTTCAAGGACTGGGAGGGAGGCCGTGCTGCCTGGGACCTCTGCAGATGAGACGCAGGACCTCGATCACCTAAAGAGCAGCTCACTCAAAACCTCTGCGTTTGGGCCACAGAGTAGAGCAGAGTAAGGATAAAACTGATAACTCTGGAGGCAGAATTGCGGGATTCCTGCTTCCTGTGTTGCTGCTTACTAATCTGTGATCATGGGCCTTTGTTTCCTCACCAGGACTGTGGGCATAAAAGTAATGCCTACCTCAAGGGTCATTGTGAGGAGTAAAGGCAACAGAGGAGAGGTACCCAGAAAAGTGCCTGACTCGCAGCAGTGGGTGAAGAGAGTGAAAAACAGGTCTTTTCTGTACAGAGAAGGGGTTGGGGTGTTGAGAGACTGACCTCACCCAAGGCCACAGGGAGAGTTAGATTTAGTAAGAAACCAGAATTCCTTCCTTATCAAAGACTCAGGCATGATTCTAACTCTTGGCCACAGTCATTTAGACCAGAACACCCTAGATAATCTGAGGGTGTTTGTATAGCAACTTCATTCCTGTCCACCTAGAGGACAAATAGGGATTGTCACTGCTTAATGGACAGCACACTGACTTTGCTGTCCCGTCATGTTTCATACCACTGGTTCTGCTGCTCTTAGAATTGCCTTTGTTCTTGGCAGTAAAACCTTATTCTTCTCATAGGTATCTGCTCAGATCGGGCTGTTTCTAGAGCGGGGTCTTCATCACCTGCCTCGTCTTGACACTAACGTGTTCTCTCCCCTCTGCCACTCTCCTGCCTTCTCTGTTGCAGACCTGCCTGGTATGACCTTCCTCCACCACCCTATTCATCTGACACCGAGTCTCTGAACCAAGCTGACCTGCCCCCTTACCGCTCACGGTCAGCTAGTGCCTACAGTGGCAGCTCCCAGGCAGCCAGCAGCCTCCTGAGTGTGGAAGACAACAGCCACAGCCCAGAGCAGCCTGTCCCTCCAGAGGGCGCTGCTGAGCCCAGAGACTCTGTGCCCAGTCAGGGTACTGAAGAAGTATAAAATCCAGCGCTTCCAAAGTCCGTATGGGTTGATCTTCTCCAACTTGTTGAATTCTAACAGCCTGTGCTCATGGGATGCTCTTTGAGCTCCTTTTGAGGATGTCTCAAGTTGCAGTTTGGGGTGCTGACTGCCTTTCCATCACCTTCTCCTCCAGATTTCAGGGATGCTCTGTGGAATGACCTGGCACTCCTCTGGCCTCTTAGTTGGCAGGATGAATGGTCATCTTCTCTGTGAGGACACTGTTCCTTCTGGGCTTATGATTAACAGCCTCAGATGGCCGTGCTACTGTTGGTCTCTCCCAGCAGGCTTGTGACTGGGCAGTCAGCAGGAGGAAACCATGTGTAAGTAGTTTTTGGCAGGAGGTCAGAAGACACCAGGTCAGACTCTCTGCTATGCTGCCACATTTGGAGACTTGGCTTGGAAGATTCTGACAGAAGACCGTGACTAGATGGCCACTCCAGAAAAGCATCCAGGTGAACATCATATCCCGCCTTGCACTGTCCATCGTTCTTACTTCAGCAGAGGCCAAAGAAAAATTCTGACTCTCATTTGGTTTTATTAAAGACTCAGAAACCATCTACCTGGCCTTACAATTTACCCAAGATTCCTCATTTTGAAAGCTTTCTCTAGAAGGGCATCATCCTTGACTAAGAAGGAAAACCCTGCCATGAGTCCTTGGCTCCTAGTGTGTAGGTTACCAGAGCCTGGTCCTGCCTTGGCCCCATAATCCCTTCCCTGGCTTCTGGATTGTCCTCGTCCAAGATGGCCTGGCATAGCTGAGGGTGAGAACCCAAACCAAGTTGGCCAAAATTCTGATTGAGCCCTTTGCCCCACTACTACAGGCCCAATCTGACACACTCATGCATGCAGCTTCATCAGTAGGTGCCTAAGCTTCGAGAACACCTGCACTATTTTCCATGTGCATTTGGACTTGACGACCCAAGTTTCTAACTTACATGAGAACTACATTCAGTACCACCTGTGAACCCGCTCAGGTCTCTGTACAGCACACACAGCCCCAGGAACCGGGCAACAAATCAGGATTAGGGTTAGAGGGAGAGTCAGGCCCAGCCACATACCCTACAGTCTCTCCTATGAGAGAAGTGGGCAATAGGTAACACGGAGTCAAGATTGTCCATTGGATTTATTTTTAAGCCTGTTAGAAATGCATTTGAAATTAAAATGTTTGGTTTTTTTTTTTTTTTTTTTTTTTTTCCCTTCTAGTTAAGGGACTATTTATATGTGTATAGGAAAGCTATCTCTTTCTTTTGTTTTTGTTTCTCTTTTACTGAGGTCCAAAGAAAGATACAAAAAGAAATGCTGCCTTTCCCCCGCCTAGTCCCATAATGTCACCTCAGACTCGCCCGCATCCTGGAGTCATTATTTATTGCGTTCTTGAAAAATGCAGAGAGGCAAGTCCTCCATTCACTGCCTGTGTCTATTTGGAATACCTTTCCTCTTTCTACATGCCCAGCCAGCCCTAGTGCATGCCACCAGCACACACCCCCGCCCACCAGGCAATAATGGGTAAACCATACTAACCAGGGACAAAACTGGAACCCAGTGCTGACACCTCCAGCAGCTGCCACCCGTTCAGAGCATTTCTCCACAGCTGATGAAATTTTCAGTAATCTGTTCGATGCTAATGAAAACGGAGCCTGCGGGGGGTGGGGGGGTGTGGCAGGGATGAAGTGGCCTTCAGTGGTGCTATACCACCGTGGGCTTTGTTTTTAACCAGATCCAAACCAGACTGCAGGAAAGCTAGCTAGCCACTAGGGGTTTTGTTTGTTTGTTTTTGTTTTGAGTAAAAAAAAAAAAAAGCCTCGTTGAGTCTTTCATTTTTAAAGTAGAAATTGAGTTGTTTTGTTTGGAGTGTCTGTGTTTGTGTGTGTGTGTGTGTGTTTCTGTGTGTTTCTGTGTGTGAGTAGCCCAATGAAGAAAGAACCTGGGTGGCAGAGGGAGCTTTTCTGGCTTCACATCTCATGCCAGTGAGTCACTGTGGCTCTTGCCTCCCTTTGATGAGTCCCTGCTTCTTTTTTTGGTGCTCTGAAAGTTGTCTGGAGAAAAAGATTCTAATTTTAATTAATTGTGCAATGAGCTAATCTCATGAGCTTTTCTGCTTCAAGGCGTTTTGGGAAAAACAAATGGTCTTCGGAGATAAGGAGAGCCTAGTAGTGTTGGGTTTTTGTTTTGTTTTGTTTCCAAACAAACACAGGAACATTTTTACTACAGATTTGGCTTTTAATTTATTTTTTTTAAATAATACTAATCATAAATAAGATAGCAAAGCTCTGGGACTTGGGGTCCCCCTTCCTTTTTTTCTCATGATACCAAGTAAGTGGCTAGCAATATTTTCTAAGTTCATTCCAGCCAGGATTTTTTGAATACTGTATTTCCTAATTCTATACCAGCCAGAAAAGAGATCTCCACTGTCTCTTCTCCAGTGAGGTCAGCGCTTCATTTTGACGCTCCACTCGATTCACTGTGGCTGGAAACTCACTGCCTAACCCCCTCTACCTTACAATTGACAATATTTTTGAAATACAGCTAAGGTGTTAATAAATAGTGTGTGATATTCAAAGTTAATGTAAACTGGAAGATTGTGGTTGCTTTTTTATTTTTAATTAGGCTTGTTTGGTTTGTTTTTTTTTTAATTTTTATACTCTCAAATAAACTTGCAGTTTGATTCTTTCTGCTGTGTGAACAGTTCTTGACCCACTTCTCTGCCCCCTAACAACCTAAAAAGAGGATGCTCATTTCTGGTTTAGCTTCCCCCAATAAATGTATGCCATAGTAAAATGAGGAAAAGGAAGAGTGGAATGGTGAAACCTCAAAATGTGGTGGGTGTCCGGGGTTCTCCAGATGTGACTGGGCTAGTGGGGAGAAAAAACCCAGATAGTGTGGTGGCCCTGGAGACTGAGTGACTCCTTCATTATAGCATTTGTTGTTCCAAGGAAAGGCATGCGGCTGTTACAACATGCACAGTCTTGCCACAGATTCAAAGACTGAACCTTGTGCTTGCATGACTGTAATTTGTTTTGAGCCACCAAGAGCTGACATGAGTCCCACCAAAAGAGCATCTTCACGTCCCTTATGTTGACTTTAGAGCCACATCTTGACTGATGGAACAGAGACCGTGTAGAGACAGTCTAGAGGCCCCCACCACCTGCAGCGAGGACAGATGATTTCAATCATTGGCCAAAATAGAAATCCACATGTAAATTTAAATGCAAACCTTCAGACCAAGATTAGGGTCGCGTATTATTTCCCCTGCTTCTAAAAGATGGAGCTATTAAGCAAGGGTATCCCAAGAGCACTGTGTCATATCTAACCGGAGTGCTCTGAAGCACAATGCCCCAAATGTTTGCTCATGCACGAATTCTTTCATCTCTCAGGGTGCCTTATGAATCCCATTTTGTTGAAGGAAATAATTATAATCATCTGATCTAGAACACACATTGGCAACCTTTCTGGAAAGGGCCAGATAGTATGTTTGGCTCTGTCACCACTACAAAGGACTCACAGATAATACATAAATGATTGAGTACATCTGTGCTTCAATAAAATTACATAAATATAGAGAGCTTGCTAGTTTTAACCTGTGGACTCCTGATCTAAGGAACCATCCCCACACTGGGTTTATAAATCTTAAGCTTAGGCAGTGTAGGGCAAATGGTTTAAAGTATTAGAACCTAAGAACTCATGAGGCAGAGTGTCCAAGGCCCAAATTTAACTGGAATTAGCCTTACCAGTTCTCTGTCCGATGAATAAGAAAGTACAGGACTAATAGAGGCTTCCTTAATAAGATCCCAAAACAGTTGGCTTGAACAGAGAAAGCTTAGTTTAAAAAAAAAAAAAAATCTGGTACCACTGGATGTCCCTTAAGATCTTAAACTAGACAATATCTCTGTTCAAGAAAGTGCATGTTGGTATGTGACCGGGGAATATTGTTCACCTCCGTTTATCTTATAAGCCACAGGCAGTGTAAGTCTGTCTGTTCAAAGACTCAACTGGATGAAAAGCATTAGAATAGTGTAAAGGAGGTATACCTAATATTCACATTTGTAAGAAGAAGAAAGAAAGAAAAAAAAAACCTATGCACCCACTGAGATTCAGGAGAAAGTTGGTGAGAAGATCTACTGGCTCTTTACTGTCCTGTAATCCAGCAGCTTCATAAGACAGAAAGGAGAACCCCCAGTATTAAGTAATAAAGATCCAACTCATTTAAAATGAGTATTGTCTATTACAGACAGGTCTCCAGGCTGGATGGGTGCAGTAGATGAGCAGCTGTCATTACTAGTTTATTTCTGGGGAGTTCCCAAAGCACTGCAGGCTATTGTCCACCAGAAACTGTGTGGTGTGACCCCCTGTTTCTGAAGACACCATACATGTTGGAGATGAGACAGAGAAATCAACCTAGAACCAAAGTGACAGTTTCCTCCCCGCTTGCTAGTGTTCATGGCACTAGAAGGTGGGGAGGAAAAGATAACAATGGTTGTTCCCAGCTACAGACTCTGTAGTACCGTAACAACCTGCCAACAAAGACTGGTTAAGGTCCAACCAACCACTTCCCAACTAGACCGAGACCTACTGCACAAGGGGGGATATATGCTGTAAGCCTTATCAAAAGCCGACAGCTGCAAGTCGCATGGCCTGGAGGAGAATATACTGCTCATGTTTTGCTAAATGGACATTGTAGACCAACCACGTCCTGAACACTTAGGATTATACTGAGAGACCAACGCTGCCCCTAGCCTGGGTCACAGAAACTTCCTTTCGTAGGTGGTGAATAGTACAGAGACTCACAGCTGGTCTCTGAGTACCGAGAATAAATAATTATTGAGTGCCCAGCCCTAAATGTGATATCTACTTTCACCTACTCCAAGACTTTGGGGACATCATCGCAAGTGGAGGTGGAAAGTTTGTAAGAGCTGAAGGATGAGAAAGGATACTGTGCAATGCTGTTCTTTATGTACAGCATGGTTTGTGAGACCATGAACACGAAAAGTATGGGTGTCAGCACATACAGACATAAGGTAACTAGTAAGGAAGAAAGAGTCCATGAGAATGGGAGCATGGGAACAGATAAGAGAGAATAATGAGAGGTGAGTCTGATTGCAAAATCATAGTACGTGATACTTATATATAAAATTGTCAATTAAAAAAAAAAAGAATCTGCATCCGAGCCTAAGGAGATGACTAAGTGGACAAAAACACTTCCTGTGCAAGCCTGAGGACCTGAGTTTAAATCCCCAGAACCCACATAAAATATGGATATCTAGACACATAGTCTAAGCACTTCTAATCCCAGCACTCCTGGAGGGATGGGAAGCAGAGACAGACCAGCTAGCCTCACACACATGTGGGAAAACAAGAAAAAGACTAGAAGATGAAAGGCAAGGACCAAAATCCAAGGTTGTCTTCTGACCTCCACATATGTACCATGACATGTGTATACCTGCATTCACACACATACAAATATGTACATACACATTTAGCTTCCCTTCCCCAATTTCGCAGCCCTATTTGCTCAATATTGGCTTCATGACAATGAAGAGACAATCCCTGCTAGAATGTTTAAACACTCTTTAACTCATGATTGGACATCTTTTGGTCATGTAGCTATTACTATGAGAGGGGTGTAATCCCTTGATTAACAGCACCTCCAGAATTATATGGAGTAGGCAAATTCCTATACGAAAAGATCTCACAGCAGGCAAAACCTCAGTGTGTCTACTGTAAAGCTTCACTGAGGAACGGTCCACGACTAACTAAGCCAGATTTATATATTTTTTTATTAATTACAGTTTATTCCCTTTGTATCCCACCTGTAGTTCCTTCCCTCTTCCCCTCCCAATCCCACTTTCCCTTCCTCTTTTCCACCCATGCTCCTCCCTCCCCCAGTCCAGTGATAGGGGAGGTCCTCCTCCCCTTCCATCTGATCCTAGTCTATCAGGTCTCAGACTGATAGACTGGCTGCATTGTCTTTCTCTGTGGCTAAAACAATCCTCTACAATAAAAGATCTTCTGGAGCTATCTCCATCCCTGATCTCAATCTGTACTGTAGAACAACAGTAGTAAAAACTACATAGTACTGGCATAGGAACCGACTGGTGGATCAATGGAACCAAACAGAAGACCCAGAAATAAACCCACACACTTATGGACACC